GGGAGGATGGGTTAGTCTGGTGATGGGTATTAAAGATGGCACGTTCTGCATGGAGCACTGGGTGTTATGCACAAACAATAAATCATGGAACATTACATCAAAAACTAATGATGTAATGTATGGTGATTAACATAACAATAAAAAATTTTTTAAAAAAGAAGCGGTAGAAAGATTTATAAAAAAAATAAAATAATGGAATGTAAAAATAACTCAAGCCATATTTTATTTAGAAACAACAATGCTTTTTTTTTTTAAAGATTTTATTTATCCATTTGAGAGAGAGAATGAGATAGAGAGAGCATGAGAGGGGGGAGGGACAGAGGGAGAAGCAGACTCCCCGCTGAGCAGGGAGCCCGATGCGGGACTCGATCCTGGAACTCCGGGATCGTGACCTGAGCCGAAGGCAGTCGCTTAACCAACTGAGCCACCCAGGCGCCCACAACAATGCTTTTTCATCTTTGCTTTGTATCAAGCGGGATCAAAGTCAAGAGTTTGCTGGAGCATTTGTACAAAGATATTACCTAATAGGAAACTTCCCTAAATGCCTTAAAAATCAGAATTTTCTGTGACTTTGCACCCTGCTCTAAATGGTGGTGTTTCCAGCATCATTCTTTGCACTGTCATAATAATTGCCTTCCTACTTATCTATTTCTGTTTCTATTGGCAAAACTTAACATATCAGGGGGAAAAAGAGTTCTTGTGACCAAATTAAAAACCTCCAGAGCCTAGTGATCAGAGGCTTCCAGCCAGTGAGTCAGCAACCAACATGTATTGAAAGCCTGCTCTGCTCTATGTGTGTGTAAAGTGTGTGTGGGGGGGTAGTCTATGGGTAAGCTTTAGACCCAGTTAAAAAAGAGGAGGGGGAGGCGAGAAGGAGGGAGTGGTACAGAGAGAGATTTCACCTGAGAGTAAAAGAGATGAATGTAAATATGAAACATGGCCAAACCACTCTCCTTTATGGGGAGTTGAAGGAAGGCCTGGTAAAGGGCAGAATAATGGGGCTGAAAAATAACAAAATGTATATGATATCTCTCCACCTAGATAAATGTATATTTCCTTAGTGGTGAAGAGTATGTTCTGGTCTCAAAATAAGATGTAGATTAGTGTTAACCTGGGTCTTGTGTTAATGAGATCAAGGTGATATGGAATTCCACCTCACCCTCCTATTTAGCTTTTCTGTTTCATAGCCATAGATCCAGACTGTACCTACTAAACTTTAAGCAGCTCTCTTGCCTAAGTGGATCACTCTTCACAGTGGTGAAAGAAAGGGGATGGCTCCATGTGAATTCACCCCCATCCCTGAGAAAACAAGTTGGAGTGCACATGCTGAGTGACAATGCTGAGGTCAGCAGCATCTCCTTTTGTTAATAAGGGGAGTCAGAAAAGGGAATTTACTCCCTTTAAACATACACTTTCTCCATGGAAACAGCATCTGCTAAAAACCTGCACTGTTATGTGACTACAAGTTAAGGTACTCATTAGTTGTGTTTTTTAACTGGTTTTCTAAGAACTAGTCAGTGTCTTAGTCTCTTAAAGTCTCATGCTCCAGAAATATATCTAGTTATTGTTAGTTTCACATTCAGTAAAAAGGCCTTGATAAACTCAGATTCCAACCAAACGGACCTCCCTGTTTTTCCCTGTGCATAGCCCATGTTTTACTGCCTTCTTGCCCTTGAACACCATTCCATCTGCCTGGGAAGGCCTCCACTATCGCCACCTGTTCAGATCCTCAAGAACTATCTCAGGGGCACCTAGGTGGCTCAGTCCGTTAAGCATCTGCCCTGGGCTCAGGTCATGATCCCAGGGGCCTGGGGTCAAGCCCCGCGTCGGGCTCCCTGCTCCGTGGAGAACCTGTTTCTCCCTCTCCCTCTGCCTGCCACTCCCCCTGCTTGTGTGTGCGCTCTCTCTCTTTCTTTCTTTCTCTCTCTCTCTCTGTCAAATAAATAAAAATCTTTAAAAAAAAAAAAGAACCATCTCAAACATCCCTGATTTTATAAGTCCTTACTCTCTGCTACTATTTTATCTCTATCTTTCTTATAGCACTTCACTTTCTCTCATGTGTGATGGAATAAAAGACATTAAGTTAGTGTTGGCAGCTTTCCCCTTCTCCCTGCCCTCTAAAGATAACCATCTTTTTGGATGCATGGGTCTCTCCAAATCCAGCAACTTCTGTGGAGATTCTTAGTATGCCAAATCAGTTCCTGAGCTTTTACTGTGCAGAAGAGTTGTAATAGGCGGAAAGAGCTGAAAAATTGCAAGGAACAATGCTAGTTCAATTAAATAACATTGGAAAGGGAAGCAAGAGCTTCTTACAAAGAAGAAAACAAGTGATAGAGGATGAAAATGGAAAAGAGGAAAAACTTACAGGGGATACATTCCAATTAGCAATAATCGCGCCTCGGATAAACCTCATTGGCTACGATACTGCCACTGCGCAAAGCTGGGGGGGGATACATTCCAGAGTGAATTTTTTAGTTGAGAATGAGGAGTGATTAGAGAGTTTTCTGGGATGCTGTAGTGTGTAAGAGATACTGAACATGAAAGTAATATGAAAAGCTGATTTTTTTTAAAGATTCTTTATTTATTTATTTGACAGACAGAGACACAGCAAGAGAGGAAACACAAGCAGGGTGAGTGGGAGAGGGAGAAGCAGGGAGCCCAATGCAGGCTCGATCCCAGGACCCTGGGATCATGACCTGAGCCGAAGGCAGTCGCTTAACCAGCGAGCCACCCAGGTGCCCTGAAAAGCTGATCTTAAATGTTGCTAGGCATTACAAATTGGCTTCCCCTTGATGTTTTTCAAAGGACTATAGTAAATCCTTAAATATTCAAACTTTTAAAATTGTTTAGTTGCTATACTGTTTCTTAGGATACAATTATATGCTGAACCACATGGAATCCTGTCTTTTGAGTTTTACTTGTTTGATTGTAATTTGTATACATGTCCTAATTCCTGTTTTAATCTGTTAGAAGGCAGGAGGCCTGTCATTCACTTCTGCCTTTTTCAGTACCTTTCACAGAGTAGATGCTCAATAAATATTTGTTTAGTGACTAACAGATACCTAAGACCTGAAATGATATCATCTAAAAAGTATCCCTTATATTAAAAAGCAAACTAAAACTGTAGTTAGGAAGGAATATTCTCTCACTTTTCTACCAGTATGAAATATTTTACCTTCAAGATGAATGGAGAGAAGTGGTTTCATGCAATATGTTCTTGAAAAACATAATCCTGCATTCATAATACCTCATTATATTCATTCTAACACTTTGTCATATACTGATGTATATGCTTCTCTAATTGATTCATCATGAATCTTCTATCTTGGAAATTTGCGAATCAGAGTAAACAGACAAAAGAAAGTCAGCTAAGGATATACATCCAGCAAGGTTCCTCCATCTCTTATTTTTTGGGAAATAACAACTTTTAAGCATGTCTACATAATGTTTGGGAACTGATAAATGATCACAAAGGGTTTCAAACTCTGTAAAACAAGTAATCTGGTTTTATCTCTGGAAATTTCTGCTTTAACTTGATCCTCACTTATCATGAACTAAGAATCTCTATTTCACTGTCCTCTCTTGTCCATCTTTAATCAATAGAATCTCATCTTCATCACCAGATGATATTTTACACTAAGGAAACTGAAAGCAGAATCACAGAACTTCATACAGGCAAGAATTAAGCATATCTCATTTGTTGTAATATACAAATACCTATGAAGAACAGTAAAGATAGGTAATAAAAGAAAATACAGTAAAAAAAAAAAAAAACTGATTATGTGCGTGAGCTACACAGACTTGGGTCCAAGTCTCAACTCCACCATTTGATAGCCATGTATCACTGGGCAAGTTCTTTAACCTCTGTGAGTACCAGTTTTAACATCTTCAATAATATGACCTACTTCACAGAGCTACTGAGGACTATCACAGTGTTTGCCATATAATAAGGGCTAAAAAGCAGAGCTAGTAGTAATAGTTGTATCGGTAGTAAAAATAGAAATAAGAGATAATGTGTTGAGCACTTACTCTATGTCAGCTTTGGTGCTAAGTGCTCATCAGCATTTCCTGAGGTAGACACAATTATCCTTGTTCCTCTTCAAGTGTTCCCTCTCTCAGTTAAGAGCACCATGATTTATTCAGTTGCTTAAGTCAAAAACATAGAAGTCATTCTTTATTCAACTATTTCATTTTCACAACCAGTGCATCAGTATGTCCTGTCAGGTCATCCTTCAATACATATCTTGGCTCCATTCACTTTCCCCATCTCCTTAGCTACCACCCCAATCCAAGCTTAGCATCATATATCTCCCCTCAACTGATAGAATTGCTTCCCAACTTGGTCTCTTTCCTTATCTCCCTACAATCCATTCTCACTGGGGCAGCCAGAGTGATCTTTTAAAAATGGAAATCTGATCGTGTTATTCCCCAGTTTAAAATAAACGGACGAGGGGCACCTGGGTGGCTCAGTTGGTTAAGTGACTGCCTTCGGCTCAGGTCATGATCCTGGAGTCCCAGGATCGAGTCCCGCATCGGGCTCCCTGCTCGACGGGGAGTCTGCTTCTCCCTCTGACCCTCCCCCCTCATGTTCTCTCTCTCTCATTCTCTCTCTCTCAAATAAATAAATAAAATCCTTAAAAAAAATAAATAAACGGATGAACTATAACACTCTCCTTTTGCCTCTGATTAAATAAAAATCAACTTCTTATTCTGGCCCACAATATGCAGCAGGATCTGACCTATGCCCGCCTCTCCAGCCTTATCCAATACTATTTTCCCTCAATTCACTGTACTCTACCCAGACTGGCCTTTTTAGTTTCCTTGAATATAACAAGCCTGCTCCTGTTTTATGACCTTTGTACTTGCTGTTCACTCTGACTGGTATACTGTTCCCATAGACCTTCACAAGGCTGGATCCTTCCTGCCATGCGGGTCTCAGCTTATAAGTCCCTTTCTCTGGGAGGCCCTTCTTGACCACTCAACCAAAAACAACCTTCTAGTCACTCTTGTAACATGACTTTTTTTTAGTCTCACCATCAGTACTACCCAAAATAGTCTCGTGAATGTATGTTTCCCCCACTCTAGAAGGTAAGTTCCAGGCGAGTAGGAACTTTAATCTGTCTTGTTCAATGCTATATGCCAAACACCTACTGCAAGTGTTCAAAATATCTTAAGTTGAATAAACAAATTTTCATTTTCCAGGTGAGGAAATCAAGGCACAGGTCACACAACTAAAATACACCATTACTCCCTCGGTTAATATTGGAGTCAAAACCTAGTAGTACAGAGTTTGTAAACTGTGAGTCTACTGGTTGAATCTGAGTAGGGACTCCTGGAAGAGAAGCCCAGAAAATTAAAAAAATGGGGAAATTTCATATAAATATTCAGATTTCAGGTTTTTCTTTAAAAAATCAGAAGATCTGGCAATATTTGGCCTATATTCCTATATGGTAACAATAATTTGAATGTCAGGTGGCTGCCCAACTTTAACTGAGACATAGCTCATTCACTCATTCAATAATCACTTGCAGAGCATTTACTATGTGCCATATACTTTCTAGGCCCTTGAGCTTTATTAGTGAGCAGAATAGACAAAGATCTCTATCCTTAAGGAGCTTAAATCCTAGCATAATGAGATAGAAAATAAGCAATAAATATGATAGGTAAATTATATATATCATAAAAGTTTATAATTGCTCAGGAAAAAATAAGAGCAAGGTAAGAAGTATCAAGAGTACAGGGGATGGGGACTGAGTGGAAGAGAATCTTAGGATTATATATAAATAAAATAGCCAAGGAAGATGCATCGATAAGGTTAAAATAGAGGAAACTGTATAATTGAAGGAAATGAGGGAGTTAATCATGTAGCTATAGGAGAATAAAGCATTCTAGACAGAGGTAACAGTCAGTGCAAAAACCCTAAAGCTGGAGTATACCTGTCTGAGAGTATACCTGTTTGAGAAACAGCAAGGTCAGAGGGTCTTGTAAGCCCTAGTAAGGTCTTGGCTTTAATTCCAAATGAAATGGGATGCCATCGGAAGGTCCTGAGTACAATAGAAACATTATATGACTGCTGGTATTAAGAACAGATTGAAGGGAGACATGTAGAAAGGCAGAGAAACCAATTAGAAGTCACTGCAACAACAGAGGTAAGACATGGTGGCTTGGACCAGAGTGATAGCAGTGATATGGAAGGCACAGTCTGTGCAATCCCCAAAGTTTGAGGCAGTTAAGACCCTGTGGGATACCTGGGCACCTGGGTGGCTCAGTCGGTTAAACATCTGCCTTTGGCTCAGGTCACGATCCCAGGGTCCTAGGATTGAGTCGCATATCAGGCTCCCTGCTCAGTGGGGAATCTGCTTCTCCCTCTGCCTCTGCTCCTCCTCCTGCTTGTGTTCTCTCTCTCTCTCTCTCTCTGTCTCTCTCAGATAAATAAATAAAATCTAAAAAAAAGAAAAGACCCTGTGGGATAACCTCTTGACCAATGGGACATGGGAGCTGAGAGATAAATTCTCTATTTCTCCTCCTAGGTCAACTATCTTGAAATAACCTCCCTCTTCCCCTGCCTCACTTCCCTTTTCCTATAGGAAAAGGGAAATATATACATATATGTCGTGTCCTTGGGATTATAAATATATATAAAAGGGAAATATATAAATATATTGTGTCCTTGGGATTATACTCCCTAATACACATTAGCTTTTGCCTCATGTTTTGTTTTCTAGGAACCTGTGAAAAGACAGGAGGAAGATCAGAAGTTCGGTTTAGGACATACTCCTTTGGACACCAAGCAGAGATGCTGAAAAGTCTATTGGATAAAAGATTCTGTATTTTAGGAGAGAGATCTGGGCTGGGAGGTATACGTGTTGGAGTTACCAGTGTACAGATAGTATATAAAACTGTAAGACTGTATAAGCAAATCATGGAGGGAGTAGGTATGGATAGAGATGAAAAAAACCTAAGGACCAAACCCCAGGCCCCCCTAACATTAAGGGGGACTATGAGGAACCAGCTAAGGAACTTAAGAAAGGGTAATTGATAGAATAGAAGGAAAACTAGGATAGTGTAATTCTCTGCAAGTCAGGTAAAGAACATATATCAAAAAGAAGGGGTTGATCAACTGTGCCAAGGGCACTGATTAAGTAAAAGAAAGAGTGACAATTGACCTGACCATTGGATTTAGCATTGTTGAGGCATTGGAGACTTTGATATGAGCAATTCTGGTGCAGTAGTGAAAGTAAAATTCTAATTGGGATGGGTTTAATAGAGAATCAAGACTCTAAAGACAGCAGTTTTGTTTTTGTTTTGTTTTTAAATAGTTTTGCTGCAAATGGAAGCAAGGAAATGGGCAGTGGCTGGCAGGGGAAGTGGAGTTGAGAAGACTTTTTTTTCTCAAAGATTTTATTTATTTATTTGAGAGAAAGCTAGAGATAGGACACAGA